TATTACATTTCTGATAAGTTGTACAACCCATCAGTTCCATTTAAACTTCATAGTATCCTCTACATTAAAAAAAATGAAATTCCAAAAATAGGTCAACATGATCTTTATTTTGGTTTACACACTCTGAGAACCAAAATGAACAAACTTGAATTCCCTTCACTTAAGGATGCTTTGTGGCAAGTTTGGTTGAAATAGGCCCAGCGGTTCTTGAGAAGAAGTCGAAAATGTGAAAAGTTTACAACAACCACGACGACAACGACAGGCAACGGACAAATTGTGATCAGAAAAGTTAACTTGACAGTTTTCCATTGCAGTTTTATTACATTTCTGATAAGTTGCACTACCCATCAGTTCCATTTAAACTTCATAGTATCCTCTACATTAAAAAAAATGAAATTCCAAAAATAGGTCAGCATGACCTTGATTTTGGTTTACACACTCTGAGAACCAAAATGAATGCATCAACTGCCAAAATAACATTATTCTTAAAGCCAGATAGTATCTGCAACATTCAGATATAGCCATGATATTCCAAAAGTAGGTCACAATGACCTACTTTTTGTTGACTTTATGTTGACTCCATAACCCTGAAAAAAGATTGATGATTCTACAATCCAATTATTTTATGGGTTTTCTCTTAGTCCTTCAATTTGTTTTTGAGATAACAAAGTTTTAAACTGTACAGAATTACAAACTTAGCCCACCTGGGCCTGAATTTGACTGAGGATAACTGTTCATTATGACCAATGTACAGTTTCTAGTATAAGTTTCTCGTACATACATGTAGCATTGTCTTTGGGGTGGAAAAATTTCAAATGTATTTGCCTTTAGACTAGACTCACAGAGCATGGAGTTGATACTTTCATTTTGGGCTCAAATACCTTAGTAGGATGTGGAGACAGTCATTTTGATGATATTCTATAAACTAACATTCTGTGACACAGTATATGCTAGCACAAAAGAGATCCCCTACTTCTCAAAGGCTGTAAGTGCCGAGTAAAGGTCTAAATCTGCAGCTTTCCAGTGGCAAATAGTTGCATCTCAAATTATGAGTGAAAATTTTTTAAAGGGACATTAAACAAAAAATATTAAAATAAAGTAGCACAAAATAGCACTGTTATATTTAAATGATTTTTAATACACTTTATGTTTTAGTGTATGTGTGTGTTCCTTTAGATCTTCTGTGAATTTTATTCCATTAACTTAGACCCAAAACATCAAGTTTTCTGCAGTTAAGAATACAGTTTTGCCAATTAAGTGAGAAAAATCAAACCCCAGGCATACACCTAAGGGCAGATAACTATCAGTTAATTCTGTAACAAATGTTTCATTCATCAATACCATGTCAGTGTGTTGCATAACATATCTATGGTTAATTTTCCAAATGTATACAAACAAAAGTAAACGTCTTGCAGATTTTGACATTTCTAGCTTTTCTAAGCAAGAAAATTACTAAAAGTAAAATTGTTTGTGTAAAATTAATTGCACATAATACACCAGTGCTCAATAAATAACAAACAAAATAAAAATGTTTTTTCTTAATAAACAAATTTTGTTAATTAGTTTCGATTGCCAAACAACTGACAAAAAGGGAGTTAATTTCAGTCATGTGATTGATGTACGAGTGGCATTGCCGATTTCTTTGTTTAATTAACTGAAGCCAAATCTGATCCTGGAATAACCCCGGGAAAACATAATGCAATAGCAACAGACATTAGGAATGTGACTTAGAGCAAGTATGCACCTATATCTGAGCATCACTCCAATAAATGTTTAAAATGCATTATCTGTAGTGTCTCTTAAATCTGATCAATATTCTAAAAATTATGAATGGAAGTTCAATGTTAAAAATAAACCTTCATCATTTAGATAAGGAATTTTTCATCACATAGACATAGGCCTATTACCGGTAGTTATACATTTGAATACCATATTATAATAAATTCACTGAAATGATTTAAAACCATCATTTACCAATATAGAACTTAACAAACAACATATGAACTGTTTCATAAATCTTAAAATTGTTAAATGTTTTTTTTTTTTAATTCTTACTCCATCCCTAAAATAAAATTTTATTTGAACGCCTCAAGAAAAAACTAAAAAATACTGAATATAAAACGTGGTACAAAACAAGCTCATGAATTCCTTATATGTGAAACAGAGCTAGGATAAGTATTTACAGTAACTGATGACACTTGATACATTATCACCTCGTATATATACTACTATTAGAGTATAAATCTATATAAAAATAAACGAGTGATGTCTTCTTTCCTGATTCACAGACTTAATAATTTATCAAGTACTGTAATTACGCAGTAATACTCCTTACCAATATCCATTTGTTAAATGCCTATCTATACTACGTTCATTGAAAATCCAGCATATTCCACGAGTCAGTCTAGATTGCCTGACTGATTACTAATCTGTGTGATTCAAAATGCCCTCTTTAAGAGAATGGGGTAAATGAAGATATTCGTGAAATTTTCTGTGCATTACTCTTATAAACCATTATGTAACACTGTATACAATATCCACATGAACATTATTAATTCCGACTGAGATATGATATACCTACAGATGTATTTAAGTGTTTCAAGCTGAAATCTTACTTAATCCAAAGTTCCATTTGACTGCCTCTATCAAGTAGTAAAATCAACACCGTTGAAGAAGATACAAGAAACATGAACTTGACGTTATCAACAATGAAAAAAGGTAACAATGAATATGCTGTAAGAAAATGACAAGGCAGTTGGTTGTATTAAAGGGTAGGCTAAAGGGCAGTAGTGAAGTATCGACAGCACTTAGTGAAATCTATCTGACGGAATAATCTGCCTCTCAAGCATAAATTTATGAATGAACTGATACGCCACTGTGGGAGGCACTACGAGGCAATTTTTTAAAAACAGGGGGATGTATTTTTCATCAGCGTGACAAATGAAGATGCAGCATCCATTGAGGCACAAACCTCAACCCACTCGTAATAGGGGACTAATAAGGAATGGATGGCATGCCTACTACCTCCGCTCAGAAAAATGAATTCTGTCACTGGACCACAATTCGGCAGTCTCCTAGATATAAATACAATGTGAGTGGAATATTCATTGAAAATTTTAAAAACTCTCCTGCTTGTTTATTACCAAGATAGAAATCAACATTCTTAGAAAATTTTATTGCGAATATTTTTCATTTTAGACATTTATTTACAAAGAGTCTATAAAGCCAGGTGCGGAATCGGTTGAAACATAGATGCTGTTTGAAAAATTCTCCTGTTGTTCAAAATCTGCAGGTGATGCAATTTTAAACCAAAAATTCTAGGAGTAAGAATTGAGGATTATTTGTTTTATTTCTGACAAAAAACTTGTTTGACAAACTGTTTATTTCTTCTAGTGAGTGATCCCCCTGAGGCTTTGACTCCTATACTTTCCTGCAGAGCTGAAGAATTTCTTCCAAAATGAGGGGATTTTTAGTGATTTTGTTGTTTAGTTTTAACATCTGCCTCAGCTTGAAAATGGGCAAAAATTCCAAAAAGATGCTAAAAACTAAAAGATGTAAGTATACATTTGTGGTCAAAGAAATGGTCGACGGTGGACATTGTCCAAATCAAGTCCAAGAATATCCTCAGGCCGATAAAACCATGGAGAGCACCACTATGGCCGCTCACCCCCAAAATCCTTATGGTATTATACAAAGTACAAAAAACCATATACTATCAGGGTCAAAATTCAAAGAGTTAGAAAAACGCCTGAAGACCGTGGAAAATATGCTAGAGGATCAAACAGTAGAAAATACGTATTTAAACCAGACGATAATCAAACAAGAATCTAAACTTAAAAACTGTGACAAAATGATGAGTGAATACCACAAAAATATCACCAACATGTACCGTTTGATGAACCACCTGCAGCGAACCATTAATACCCAGAGAAAGGGGTACCAGGAGCTGGAGAGGAAAGTGTCCGGCATCGTCCTAGATGTGGTGGAGGTCAATAACGTACTGGAGAAAAAAGTGACTACATTTGACAACACCGGCAGCTTGAAACGTAAAAATATTCAAGTGGAAACCATTTCAAAGGTGCTAAACTGTGGACAAACTAATCGGGAAACTACCTTCAAAGGTAAAGTACTCTCCAAACTCACAGCCTCTTGCATTTCTACATTTTCTCAGTTAAGAAGGTTATGTAAGAATTAATGACTGGAAAATAAAACAAGTTGCACTTTTTATGTAAAGAAGAAGCTCTCTTTTTATCTTTTATCTCCTTTTTCCTTTCACTAAATCTGTGGTATATTTCAGAAATTTTACAGGCTGCCTGTTAGCCAAAAAAAATTTGATTGTAGATCAAGTTTCAGCTAATAGGAAACTTTCTCAGATCCATGTATATAAACTTAAGAAATTGAAAAATACCTCTTAGCACCAGGGATATATATATATAATTACTGGTACTCTCTTTCATTTAGGAACAGAACTGTTCTGCCAACTGATATAAGATGCAAAATTTAGAAAACTTAAAAAAAGGATATTACTGATACACGTCATCATGTGTATTATAGATTATGTACATTGAAAATTATATATAGACAAAAATTCTAAAACATAGGATATTTGCACTGATATTTTCTTTCATAATTTTAGATTGTGAATACATAAATGTGTGAATACTATCTATATTTTAACAAAAAGATGAAAACATTTTTAACGTCTTAAAATACTAAACAAATTTTTTAGAAAACAAAAAATAAGAACACATAAATCCCCTTGCATATAAAACTTAACTGTTCCTATTTTGGGATGTTATCTTCCAACAAACTATCAGCAGGAGCTATTTTGTTAAAGCGTTAAAGATATAAAGACATGACGTGAGGAGGCTATTAGGATACCTTTGATTGTTAGACTGCCTTCTAATTATAAACAAAAATTTTATTCAAGCAATTTAAGGGCTGTTGGTGCCCTATTTTAACACTGACCAGGTCCCTTGATACTGGAAAAATCATTTTCAAATTTGTGAAATTAGGGAATTTTTTTTTTTAATTTTGGTACATGTAAATTAAATTTTCAAAAATCTTTTTTTTTGTTTGAAAACTTTCTGAATTCATTTTACAGTGGATTGTATTTTTAGTCATAATTGGGAAAATTGGTTACTTTTTGTCATTGGGAATAGGTCCCAATTTTAATCTAAATTAAAAAAGTAGTGATGACATAAAATGCCAGTCATTATTTCCAAACTTCGATCATTGATCTTGTCCTTATCGTTCTAGGACATTTACCAGGTACTTACTTCCAACGGAATTCTACATTAAAAAGCAAGATTTACAATAAAAATTGGATGTTCCAGCCAAACAACTTGATATTAAAGATAATTAAAAATACCTCTCAAATCTAATGCAAATGCAAATAATTTTATTTAATGCTCCTTAAATTGTAAGTTTCCATACCCCCCCACCCCCTCTTTCTCAAGTTTTAGCTGCAAAAGCATTTTATTCTTGGGCTGCATCAGGTCCTAAACATGTCTAATATGAGTTGTGTACAAGGCTTCTTTTCACAAATAATTGCCTCTAAACTTAAGGATATTTCACTGGATGACATCAGTTATGTAACTTTATTATACTGATTAACATGCTTTACTCTATTTGTCGACATAAGACACAGACCTTATCTAGTTTATATTCTTGCTTCATATCAAAAACATCTCTACTAAACAAATCAGAAAAATCAAGTCTGGAAAATTCTGAATGATCAACTGGCACTGAATAACTCCAATATTAGCTAAAAAAAAAATCCCTATACCTTTTCAATGTTAGAAGCCTAGTGAATGCAATAAATATTGTAGTATTATAGTAAATAGCCTATAGCTCTCTTGTCCTGCTGTGTAATTTGGAAGTTCAACATCATGTACAACCGCCTCCTCATAGTTCATACAGAGATTTATCCATTAAAAGTGATCATAAAGATTAAATTCACAGGATTCTTTAATTTTCTATAAACAAACTATTTCTTTCAACAAAGTATGGTTTTGTATTGTCCACAGACCCTTAAAGTAGTTACACGGGTTAAAAAAATATCATCAACCTACACAAATATTAAACCTATGATCTTTAAAATTACGACTTCATGACTTTCTAGATATCAAGCTTTTTCTTTGGTGCAGCACTGCATGAAATCACGTAACTTGCAGGAATGCTTACAGGCAGACCACCATGTAATCTATTGAAGTAGAGCAAAATTTCAAAAAAAAGAAGGAAAATATCCACCTTGTTTATCTAAGTGAACAAATCAATAGGAAAAAGCTATTTTTTTTTCTTTCGCTTCTGACAACATGACAATATTTGAAGCTATAATTACTGTACATACTCTTGTTTTGCAGCCATTAGCTAATACTGAATTTTTAACTTTTCTGGTTTTAATTCTTTTATTTATCATCTTCAATTGAATTCTCCTCTCAAGATTAAAATGATCCAGCAATAAAAATGATAAAATAAAATTAATAAACTTTAGCTTTCTTGAATTAAATGAAAAATAAAGTTAATCTTCAGGTCAGAAATCAGAGAGAAAATCACGACATTTTTTGTAGAATTTAGAATTCTCTAGATATTGTATGGCAGATTTGATGGGCAAAATATTCATGAATGTTGGGATGAGCAGACACCATATAATGCTTCAGGACCTACTAATCCCATTTTATTATTGAAATATAATATTATCAGCAGATAACCAGAATCTTTTTTGCTATGCACATCTCTTCAAGGATAAAATATAGCTGTATATCATTAAAGAAAAAAATTGAAAAAATTCTCATAAATACCTTTGTTTGACTTATTAAATGACCTGCATAAAGTATGTCACATTTTTACAGCAGCTATCTTTGTAAAAAATCAGTCTTGAAGCTGGATAACTGGCAGATTTAGTATTTATTGGTATAACAAAAAAATGGGGGTCTGATGAAACATCTAGGCTTGTCCCCCCTGTAGTGTGATACATGAGAGAAAATGAAATGATAAATGTTTTAAAGTAATCCTCATATTTGTTAAATTACTAGGTGTCATTGTGCATGAAGAATTTTAGTCTTTCTTGTAAATCACTTACATATTTTTTCATATCAAAGATAAACACTAAACAATGCAATGGCCACATTCACACAGTGGTCTGGCAAAGAGAAAGTTCTGGTAAATGACTTTTGCTTCAAAAATTGTTTCTCCTGCACAGCTAATCCTAAGTAGTTTTATGAGAACCATGAAAACTTGATATATTTCTAAAATCTCTAGACAATTAAGTTTATCTTCAAGTATTGACAATTCAAATCCTTGGGTGCCCTTCAAAAATGTAAATGAGCCCCAAACTATGATACCAATGAATCTCTTATGGCAAGATGTGTATGCCAAGCAATTTATCCTCATTCCAACTTCTGACAAACATTAGCAAACAGTGGAAGAAACCTGGTTAAATAATTAGCAATTTAATGATTGGTAACACTTAACGTAAGCCACTGCAACACTCAGGCAGTTTCTTTAAAAGTTTTTAACTAGCTGCTTTGCAAGAGTTTTGGCTCCACCAATTTTTGTCTTGCAATTCTTTTTTTTATTAGGACAGTATAAATCTTGTAAATCAAAACAAAAGGCCTTAGCAAGGGCCCTACCTTTCACCTGAGTATATTACAACACTGTAAGGATCAGTCTATAATAAAGTAAAGAGAGAAAGAGAGAGAAAAAGATGGAAATAATGAAATTATGTTCCTGCAAAAAACACAATGCTTAAGTCTAGTACTCAGTGATAAAATATCTTAAAGTAGTACTTTTTAGTTCAAATAATCATCTGATATGGCTATAACTTTCATATTTTTGGAAGAGGCACTCTCATCATAATATTGTAAAAAATTTTTGCTCAATGCTCAGGAGAAGGGATTTTAAAAAAAATTAATACATCGAAGACTTCACTGTATTAATATCAAGTGAGTCCATCCTTACATCAAAACTCTCAGGGCCATGTCTTTTATATTTAGAAGAGAGAGGTATTCTTGCTAATGCCCACATGGTGCAGTGGTTAAAGTGTCTGCTCTAGAGTTGCAAAGAAAGTAGAAAGTAGATGGGTTGGAACCCCACTGTGGGAAATGGAGACTGGTCCTTCAGATGAGATAGTTTAAACTAAGTCCCATGTTGCAGTAGTTGTTGGCATGAAAAAGATCCCCTCACTGCTCAATGGCCATGAGTTCTTAGTATCTGGACAAAATTTGCAACTCTCCATTTTTTTTACTCTCCAGATGTTAGAGTGACTGGCTGACACTTCTTTGTAAACATGAAGTAAAGTATCGGATAAGGTCTGTTTTCAACCTTAGACAAGGCATAACCAAAGATTCCAGATATAATATGGTGTATCTGTGAATCTTTGGGGTACGTGATACATTTTTCTATAAATTCTGCACCTGACTTTGATTTAGGATTCAGCAATACTCAAGACAGCATATACTATTAGGTCTATTTTCTACTTAACACATGAGGAATTTACCCTGAGCTTGTATTTATGATGTATGTATGTATTTGCTTAATGGCTGGTTGTAAGACAGCAAGTACTTAGTAGTCATGTTAAACAAGAGGCCCATGGGCCTTATAGGTCACCTGAGCATTATTCAAAAACTTTCCAGTGATTGAATTTGATCCATGTTTTAGCCAGATGCTATAGCATTTACAATTTGGTCATCATAACTATACATTTAGCAGTTCCTTAGTTTGGTTACTTTATACCCATAGGCAGGATCAACAAATGCATTTCAACTAAGTAATATTCAGCAATAATCAGTAGTGCCACTACCACACATGAACCCTTGACTCTTAGGCCTAGATCCTCACATTGCACTATTTTTGGAAAGGCATCCTTGCTTTTCAAAAATATTTGATTAATACCAAGGAGCACATTTCAAACAATTCATTCATTTTCAGTATATAAGTACAGCCCCCCCCCCTCTATGGTACAACTGACCCTGGGGCCTTGAAATTTTCAATTCTTGAAGATTAAGGAATACTCATAACTGTATAGGTAGTTCATATGCTTAAAACCTAGGAGCAAAGAAGAAAATATTCAAAGATTTAATGTTTTTTCACTATACATGTATAATCAATACAGCCCCGCCCTAACACCAGAATCCTTGACCCTGGGGCCATAAAATTCACAATTTTGGTAGAGGCACTCTTGCTCATCATAACTATGTATTTAGTTAG